AAACAGTTGGCAACAAACAACCATACATGGATAGCTATGACCTCTGCCCTATGCACCGCCCTAGGTTCAAGAAAAAATACCAACCAACCTGTAAAGACCAAACAAGTTCTATGTAACCCGAAGTCCTGTGCAGGTAAGGATCTCTTAAACTTATATAATTCTTTGCGTTCAAAGCAGACTTTGTTCAGTCAGAAGTAAAACACTGTGCAGGCAAGAGGTTTTAGGTGATAACATACTGGCTAAGAATTTTGGGTTACAATTTTCTAGGGAAAAGCCTAGGAACTCTCAACACAAGAATAGACAGGGTTACGAATACCAGCATAGGAGAGAAAGTCGGAACAAGACCATATTTGGATTATATTGACAGACAAAGAATGAAATGGTCCAGCCATGTTGTGAGAATGCAGCCAGTCCAAACTGTACACACCATTTTTTTTACAACAGAACATCTGGGATTAAGGCAAGAGGAAGACCAAAAAAGTGTATATAAATGGTGTAGCAGAAACCTGCAAAAAGATGAACAAATCCGTCCCACAAGCCACCCGAGAAGAGCAAGACACAGAAAACCACGACACTTGGTAACAACTTGGTATCCGTTAAACGACAAGAGAAGACGAAAAGCTGGCAAAAGGCTAAAGTAATATATATATAAAGATATAACTAATTGCTTAATAGGTAATTATCAGGCACTCCGATACAAAGAAAATACTGTGTGGAGAAGCTCCCTTTCCACCAACAATTACGTTTATAGGCTTCGTGGAGTGGCTTAGTAATAATACAAATAATATGCTGAGTGGATATATATATATATATATATATATATATATATATATATATATATATATATATATATATCCACATTTATATATATATCCTTATATAAGTCTTATCACCGCTGCTGTTTATCACATACGTCGACAGTATATACAAGGATGCCAGGCCCCGGAACGATATCAGTAACATCAAGGAATTACTCAGATTACGCAGAATCTTACACTTTCCTTGACACCAGAAGTGGTAAAGGAGGAAGGCAATAATAATAATAATAATAATAATAATAATAAGAAGAAGAAGAAGAAGAAGAAGAAGAAGAAGAAGAAGAAGAAGAAGAAGAAGAAGAAGAAGAAGAAGAAGAAGAAGAAGAAGAAGAAGAAGAAGAAGAAGAAGAAGAAGAAGAAGAAGAAGAAGAAGAAGAAAAAGAAAAAGAAGAAGAAGAAGAAGGAAAAGAAGAGGAAGAAGAAGAAGAAGGAGAAAAAGATTACATTTGCCTTTAAAAAAAAATTAAGTCAGTCCGAGAAATAAAAAAGAAAAAAGACAGACAAACCAAACAGGCGGACAGACAGATAGATAGATTAGATAGATAGATTAGATAGATAGATTAGATAGATAGATTAGATAGATAGATTAGATAGATAGATTAGATAGATAGATTAGATAGATAGATTCGATAGATTAGATAGATAGATTCGATAGATTAGATAGATAGATTAGATAGATAGATTAGATAGATAGATTAGATAGATAGATTAGATAGATAGATTAGATAGATAGATTAGATAGATAGATTAGATAGATAGATTAGATAGATAGATTAGATAGATAGATAGATAGATTAGATAGATAGATTAGATAGATAGATTAGATAGATAGATTAGATAGATTAGATAGATTAGATAGATTAGATAGATTAGATAGATTAGATAGATTAGATAGATTAGATAGATAGATAGATAGATAGATAGATAGATAGATAGATAGATAGATAGATAGATAGATAGATAGATAGATAGATAGATAGATAGATAGATAGATAGATAGATAGATAGATAGATAGATAGATAGATAGATAGATAGATAGATAGATAGATAGATAGATAGATAGATAGATAGATAGATAGATAGATAGATAGATAGATAGATAGATAGATAGATAGATAGATAGATAGATAGATAGATAGATAGATAGATAGATAGATAGATAGATAGATAGATAGATAGATAGGTAGATAGATAGATAGGTAGATAGGTAGATAGGTAGATAGGTAGATGGGTAGGTGGGTAGGTGGGTAGGTAGGTGGGTAGATGGGTAGGTAGGTAGGTAGGTAGGTAGATAGATAGATAGATAGATAGATAGATAGATAGATAGATAGATAGATAGATAGATAGATAGATAGATAGATAGATAGATAGATAGATAGATAGATAGATAGATAGATAGATAGATAGATAGATAGATAGATAGATAGATAGATAGATAGATAGATAGATAGATAGATAGATAGATAGATAGATAGATAGATAGATAGATAGATAGATAGATAGATAGATAGATAGATAGATAGATAGATAGATAGATAGATAGATAGATAGATAGATAGATAGATAGATAGATAGATAGATAGATAGATAGGCAGGCAGGCAGGCAGGCAGGCAGGCAGGCAGGCAGGCAGGCAGGCAGGCAGGCAGGCAGGCAGGCAGGCAGGCAGGCAGGCAGGCAGGCAGGCAGACAGACAGACAGACAGACAGACAGACAGACAGACAGACAGACAGACAGACAGACAGACAGACAGACAGACAGACAGACAGACAGACAGACAGACAGACAGACAGACAGACAGACAGACAGACAGACAGACAGACAGACAGACAGACAGATAGATAGATAGATAGATAGATAGATAGATAGATAGATAGATAGATAGATAGATAGATAGATAGATAGATAGATAGATAGATAGATAGATAGATAGATAGATAGATAGATAGATAGATAGATAGATAGATAGATAGATAGATAGATAGATAGATAGATAGATAGATAGATAGATAGATAGATAGATAGATAGATAGATAGATAGATAGATAGATAGATAGATAGATAGATAGATAGATAGATAGATAGATAGATAGATAGATAGATAGATAGATAGATAGCAGACTTAAAAATTGAAAATTAAGCAATTTGCCTTTTATTTAGTGAGAAAGTAATCTGCATCATTTCAATGTAAGAAAACAGCTGCTTTCAACGTGGAAACCAAACTTAAAAAGGTATAATTACATGATATTTCTTCTGGTCTGACTTTAGAGGGGGGAAAAAACAAATCTTTCCCAAGTTTTAAAAAAAGATTCATACACTTTTAACATGCCCCATCCTCACCATTTCCCAACCTCCCGCTAACACGCATTTCCCTTTTTCCAGCAACAATTTCAGGCTGACGTTTTGTTTGCACCAAGTATCTGCTGGCAACGGAATTGCGTAAAACGTAGCAGGTATCGTGTACTATATATACACAAGCTCACCTGAGTCACCAACCTTTTCCTTTAACCGCCCCCCCCCCCTCCTCCCCCTTTTCATCCCGCCAGTGAGTTGTGCAGAAACCAGGTATCCGTTGTCCCTCATCAACGCCACCCATTTCTTTAACGGGCAAAGGCATATGTATTTTGTAAATTTTCGTTGATTCGACCGTCTGCACACATTTTAATCACTTTAGGTGTATCATTCTTGTCAAGCAAACACGGTAACCCAATTACATCTCAGCCATTTGTTTCTTTCCCCTTATCATAATCGAACAAATGTTCTTTTTTACACTTCTTCTCTTCAGCTGTTAAGTTGAGTTGATTCAAGAATGACATTACAGCACTGGGAGCATTCCCATGCATGCTTCGACCTCATCTTCAGCAGCCAGCGCAGAGTTCCAATACTGATGGTACCAGTCACGATCTTGTCCGTCTTGCCTTTAATCTGAGTGTAGTAAACCAGCCAGCTCTTCTGGTTATACCCAGGTGCCTTTTTCGCTCCAGGCCATAATAATCTCTTTCCTCTATAAAAAACCTCTATCCACCTAGGAAAACCAGTAAATTTGTGAATTAACACTAACACGACTGCGTGACCTGAGACTAAGGCACAGTGAAGCACGTGTATGCCGCCTTTGAGGCCGATATATGAGACATGATAATCAACTTCTCATGGGAACAATTAAGTGGGATCTGAGGGCTCAGCAAGCAATAGGAATGCCCAATGTACAGTAACCTCGATTGTGATAACATTGATGAATCCATAGTGTTTCTTCTTTCTTTCTTTCTTTCTTTCTTTCTTTCTTTCTTTCTTTCTTTCTTTCTTTCTTTCTTTCTTTCTTTCTTTCTTTCTTTCTTTCTTTCTTTCTTTCTTTCTTCTTCATCTCCTCCTCCTTTTTATTTTTGCTTCTTTTTCTTATTCTTCTTTTTCTTCTTCTTCTTCTTCTTTAGTATTTGGAGTCCTTGAGGTTCATCGCTGCAGAAATCACCCACTCATGACTGACCTTCTATTTTCAATTGGTGACTCCAGGTGTCTGTAGGTCTGGTTAAAGTAACGTTAATCTCCACAAATAGAGTAGGTCACTTTTCATTCACATGTTTTTGGGCTGGTCAACTTTCCTGAAGGTTACTGGTGTGTTCCCCTCTGTTGTTTGCTTTCTGCGTTGTCTTGCATTTACATTTTCATTCCGAGAAAGAGATTGCCTGTGGCATAGGTTGCAGCACTCTCGGGGTGGGGGGATGTTAAGGCCAGTTTCTCAATGTTTTTGGAGTGTAAAAAGCGCTGGCGTGCTGAAATATACTACACGCGATATCAACGGCATTGCGGAATACCCCTGCAACCTTGTGCCAAGGTGACAGGCTCAGGAACAACCAATCGTAATTGAGCTAATGTGCGAGGCGTGGGAAGACTAACGTTACGTGTACCGTCTGTGTATTATCCCTCCACGGCCTTGTTGGTCTGCATTGTGGTCTACTTGGATTCAACTCCCTTGCGTGTGCAGCTTGTCTGTTATCTAAATTCTCTCTATTTTCCAGTCTGTAAGCCACCATGATGCCAGTAATAATTGGTGATTTGAAACGTTTAGTAGAGTTTTCTTTTGCTACTCTTTATTCTACACATTTTTCAATATGCATTAAATAAGACACAGATGATAGGATACTAAAAAGATTTTTTTTTAAAAACTGTAGATAAGAGATTAACTAACCTGTTTAGTTGGCGATACAGTGGCCACTGGTGATCCCGATATCAGCGGTGCAGAAGGAGATGGCGCAGATGCAGAGTTGTCATACAATGGTGGACTTGGCTGCACTGAAGCTGGTGGTCCCACGAAAGGAGAAACATCCAGTGGTAGCTGAGGACTTAGCGAAGCAGGAGGCAGTACAGTCCGGGATGCCGTAGGAACTGAAGGTATTACAGGAGCTGGAGCTACTCGAGCTGTTGGTTTCTGATGGACAATCTGTTTTGTAGATAAAAAGCTTTTTGGCACCGGGGACTCGGTTTCGTTTGTGGAATCTGTGACATCAACAGGTAAAGGTACTGTGATTGGTCTGGCATCGATGTATTCGGGGTAATTCCCGTGTCCTCTATTGCCTTGGATGTTAATCACATGACCTGATTGACCCCCAGGGCCGACCATGGAACGAAATCGAACATTCTGGCCTCCCGTGCTCTGAATATGAATGGCACGGCCCTGACCTTGGATTTCTATGTTCGTGTTGCCGTCGCTGATAATATTCGTCTGGCCAGGGGTGAATCTGATGGCCATTCCACCACCTTGACCACGACCTGTTGAGATAACCACATTGGAACCTGCATGCTGACCAAGGTTACCGCTGTTAGCTCCAGCCTGGCTACCCGAAAGCACCACCTGCCTCTGAGGGTGAAGACGAAAGACATTGTTCTGCAAAACCGCAGCTCTGTTATCCAATGACGTTCCTGCCAGTTCATGACCCTCTCGTAAAATGGCCAAGCTGCGAGTTTTTGGCGAGTTTGGCCCTATTGGGTGTAGCAAATTTGCGCTTCTGTAATATAAAACCCCGCCGTCTCGCATAACCGGTCTAGAAGCGGTGGTCAGCACGGATGTACCATGTCGTTTTCGTGATTTGGCTGGCGGCCCAACCACAGCAGAGCACATCCCGAAATGGATGGCACTGCAGGGGTCCTTTAACTGACCCATTTTACACGAGGAACAGCTGTGAAGGGAACGACAGTAGCGCAGGTCGATCTTGCTAGCGTGGTAAACTGTAATCCGAGAGTGGACGTACGACGGGCAAGGGTGGCTAACCACAGCCGATTTAATGGCAGGGTGTTTTTCTTTGGTCATCCTGTCAGGTTTTTAACGCTACCTGTGCAAGGAGGTCCAGATACAAAACGATCTAGCAGAAACGATTGTTCTTTAGGAAAGCTCTTTTTGTTTCGTTTCCAATACTGATATAGTCGAAAGGTAGCCAAAGTAGTGCCTGTAAATAATAGCAATGCAAGAGGTCAGCATATATAGTAATTTACTTTTACTGTTGGCTTCTTCTTCTTCTTCTTCTTCTTCTTCTTCTTCTTTTTTTTTTCCTTCTTCTTTCTTCCTTCTTCTTCTTCTTCTTCTTCTTCTCCTTCTTCTTCTTCTTCTTCTTCTTCTTCTTCTTCTTCTTCTTCTTCTCCTCCTCCTCTTCCACCTCATGCATTCGTCCTAAAATGGCAGTTGATACCATGTGTTGTGGGTTACAGCTAGTCTGCGAGATCAGAGCCCTTTGGCCGAACACAGCCGATTTCAGCAAACATTAAATTAGCGGCCTTTTACGACTGCGTGTTAAGGGACATTTGATTTATTCGAAAGTTGACATGGTGGGGGCGGTACCAACACGGATATAATGTGCCATCGTTCAATGACCATATTTCTTGTCTGCACACATACATCCTTAGACAACAGTCTGCAGTCAGATCTGTAAAACATATTTTACACGCAACACTCAGGTTCTGGAACAGGACTGCAGTCCAGAAGTGGACGAACAACCAGAACTTTCCGCCGAAGTTTACAGCCGGTGAACGCGAAGAAGAAGAAGAAGAAGAAGAAGAAGAAGAAGAAGAAGAAGAAGAAGAAGAAGAAGAAGAAGAAGAAGAAGAAGACGTATCCAAATCGCCTAATCTGTTCATTCGACCACCAGTTCTTTCGTCTGTCAGTGAGTGTGTCTGCCTGTCCCTCCCATCTATCTCTCGTCGGCCCGCCCGTCCCTCTGTACAACTAGTTATAATTGGTTTGTCTGTCTATACTCTATATGCCTGATGTGTATATTTGGAGGGGGAAAAAACATGTTATTTGAGTGTAACCAAAGAAAACAAAACATCAGCTTGTACTGAATAATCTCGGTTGAATTTCGTTTTTCCCCCCTTCGCCTCTACTGTCTGTCCCGGTAGCATCGATACCATAGACTGAGCTACAACATATAATTGTCTTCTGCAGGTAAGAGTATAATCCTGTGTGTGCAAGAGTGAGGTTTATACGTGGTGAAGGGAATAGGTCATACTTAGTGCAACAAGACAGTTTATTCTAAAATTAGCTTCCATTTAAAGGTTAGGATTGTATGAGTATTAGAGACAGCAACTGAGAAAGTGTGAGGCTGGCACAGAATACGAACAGATTTTGACACACACACTCTGTCTCTCTTTACCCACTATCTATCTATCTATCTATCTATCTATCTATCTATCTATCTATCTATCTATCTATCTATCTATCTATCTATCTATCTATCTATCTATCTATCTATCTATCTATCTATCTATCTATCTATCTATCTATCTATCTATCTATCTATCTATCTATCTATCTATCTATCTATCTATCTATCTATCTATCTATCTATCTATCTATCTATCTATCTATCTATCTATCTATCTATCTATCTATCTATCTATCTATCTATCTATCTATCTATCTATCTATCTATCTATCTATCTATCTATCTATCTATCTATCTATCTATCTATCTATCTATCTATCTATCTATCTATCTATCTATCTATCTATCTATCTATCTATCTATCTATCTATCTATCTATCTATCTATCTATCTATCTATCTATCTATCTATCTATCTATCTATCTATCTATCTATCTATCTATCTATCTATCTATCTATCTATCTATCTATCTATCTATCTATCTATCTATCTATCTATCTATCTATCTATCTATCTATCTATCTATCTATCTATCTATCTATCTATCTATCTATCTATCTATCTATCTATCTATCTATCTATCTATCTATCTATCTATCTATCTATCTATCTATCTATCTATCTATCTATCTATCTATCTATCTATCTATCTATCTATCTATCTATCTATCTATCTATCTATCTATCTATCTATCTATCTATCTATCTATCTATCTATCTATCTATCTATCTATCTATCTATCTATCTATCTATCTATCTATCTATCTATCTATCTCTCTGTCTGTCTGTCTGTCTGTCTGTCTGTTTGTCTATCTAAACAATCAATTATCTTATTTATCCGTCTGTCTGTCTACATATATATAAGTAACGTAAAGTTCCCTTTTCACGCCTTTTGGCGCATCGGGCATATGGGCAGAGCGTCCCATATTTTTACAGACCATCAGCACTCTGTGGGTAATGTGGTCAGCAATACGCCGGCTGTCTTTACTTTCCCAGGACAGCCCATCCTGGTACCCATTTTAGGCTGGGTCGACCTGCGACGTCCCCATACCACGACAAAAATCCACGCAGCCTGCAGTGGGTTTCGATCGCGGTATTATTATATGTATATGTATATATATATATATATATATATATATATATATATATATATATATATATATATATATATATATATATATATATATATACATACATATATATATATATCCCATATTGATATAAGGAAGCGAGTCATGGAAATTTAATAGATTATTGGAAAAAAAGAGTACAGAAAATGTCTTGAAAGAAACTGACTCACGAAGAGAACTGATTGCCCACACCAGAAAGAGACAATCTACATTCTTTGATCACGTCACGAGAAAAAGAAAACTTTTATACATCGTGACAGTAGGAAAGTTGAGGGGAAGAGAGATAGAGAAAGACAAAGAGGCGATGCTGGACAGTTTGACTTCATGGCATGGAGGATCATCAGAGCTGACTGAAAGTACACGAGACAGAAAGTTGTGGATAGACATGATTACCAATGCCACATGGCATGGACTTTAAGAAGAAGAAGGCTAATTCATTCTGCCCGATAGTATCTATGGTGAGACACTTAATCGCATCAATTAGCAGGTCCTTTACAGAACGTCGCTCTCTTCACGCATTTCTGAAAGTATCCCTTTCCCTAGCCAGCTCTCCGGCTCCATGTGCTTTCAAATGCCAATGCGTCTTCAATGTCATGTATCAATTTTTGAGGTGCACGACCCCTGCCTCGCCTTTCACAAACTGCACCCTTCAACACATTCTTTTTCTAGCCGCTATGGCTCTTGATATGGCCAAAATAATTCAACTTTCGGTGAGACACTTCAAACATAATAATTTTTTTTTCAAGCTTGAATTATTAGTGCAGACGGTGTTTAAGTAACAACATCTTAGGACTTGAAGAGTTACAGTATTCCCCGTACAGACGGTGTTTAAGTAACAACATCTTAGGACTTGAAGAGTTACAGTATCCCCAGTACAGACGGTGTTTAAGTAACAACATCTTGGGACTTGAAGAGTTACAGTATCCCCAATACAGACGGTGTTTAAGTAACAACATCTTGGGACTTGAAGAGTTACAGTATCCCCAATACAGACAGGGGCATTTATACGACTTACCTAAGAAACACAACGTAACATTTGCCATAACAAAAATACTGTTCACTATAACTGAAAATTCAATAATTCCTCTTGAAATATTCTTTCATAAAAACATGTATATCTATTCTGCTTACTTAACTTACATAAAATAGTAAATTTCGCCTTTCATAAAAACATGTATATCTATTCTGCTTACTTAACTTACATAAAATTGTAAAATTCGCCTTTCATAAAAACATGTATATCTATTCTGCTTACTTAACTTACATAAAATAGTAAATTTCGCCTTACATGAAAACACTGACAGTCATTGAATTACTTATCTTAAGTAAGTCAAAAAAAAAAGGAGAGGTCCTTTTTCCACGCCTTTAGGCGTATTGGGCATATAGGGCTAGACCTATATTTTTATAGACCAATCGGCACAGTATGAGTGATATGGTCAGCATCACGCCGACCGCCTTTACTTCCCGGGACTGCACCCGGTACCCACTCAAGGCTGGGTGGACCTGGGAGTCAAGGTCATTTTTTTTTTAAAGTCCGGCTGTGACTTATCTTAAGTACTGTCTTTAAAAAGGTTGCCTTTTCCCCCCTTACATGTCTTTTCATTAAAACATCTACACAAATGTGGTTTTTCCCCTTACACGTGCTTTTATAAAAATATCTACATAAATAAAGTTTTTTTTTTCTCCTTATGTGTGCTTTCATAAAAACATCTACATAAATAAAGTTGCTTTTTCCCCTTACATGTGTTTTTATAAAAATATCTACACAAATAAATTAGCCTCTTTTCCCTTACATGTGCTTGCATAAAAACATCTACATCTATTCTACTTACCTAAGTCGAACGTCGTTGTAAAATTGGCTTGAATAAAGAAAAAACACTGCTATAGAAATATCCCACCGTCTTCACAAACCCTCAGTAAAATCCTAGATTTTTATATAACTTACCTAACTTTCACATCGTTCTTAGACCAGTCACAGAAAAAGCCTACACTGCATACCCAGGTTACAGACCATCTTACAGAAAAAAAAAAAAAACAAGTTAAATGCCAACTTAAGCCACACACAAACACACAAACTGGCGTAACACAGATGTACAAAAACAAACCGTTCTGCTTACCTTCTCAGCTACACAGCCCAACCAAAGGAACCTACACGGATACGTTAGTCAAACACTTCAACCTGAGGGAGAGCTGTGTTCAAAAATGAGGTCACGTGAGCAAGGAAAAGTATATATACATATATATCTCCACCTGGTTAGTTTTACCATTAAATTATATCCTGACTTGGAGAATGATAGGTAATTATGTCGAAGGACAGGTGAGTAGATAGGTGGATAAGTTGTAAGAACAGTCTCATCTATAGTTGAGGTGTATACCTCCGATTACTCATCTCCCCCCGCCCACGTACACAATTCAAGATGATTTTAAAGGGGTTCAGGTAGATTGCTATATGTATGTGTAAACTTTGTTACCAGAAACGGGTGGATAATATGAAGAAATATGGGAAAAGTATCTGAACAC